CTGATGGTGCCCGTTGTCGCAAAACAGATGTGATTTATACAGATCATTGTGGATTACACTGGCCACCCCACAATAAACATTTATTTTACTGTTCATCAGGAAAATCTTCTTGGCAAGATTTTGAATTATGAGTGTAATAATGTGATAACTACAGTTCTGAAAAAAGTGACTTTTCTTGTTGTTCAATTTGCCTTTATACACCGACAGTCTCAAATTTAACTTCAGGAGGTGGACAGTGCATACAAGTACATTGAGCTTCAAAGCAATATTTATTGGCTAAACTATGTGAAGGTTTTGGCATGCTTTGTGAACTGCAAGATGAAAAATGGGTTTTTTCATTTTATTCTTTTTTTTTTAATACCACCATGCATATGAACGAACTCAATCTCCTTTTGCGGGGTGCAGCTCAAACTCTTATGGTCTTTTCGAATCATGGAAGGCATTTCTTGCAAAACAAGCCACTTTCTCTCAGGACACTGACCCTCAACTTTCTGCTATTTTCAAAATATTGCACAACCCATGTTGCTGAGTTGTTTTTCTGATTAAACCATATAGTTTTGATACCAGCAGCATTAAATGTTTCAGTGGATGGGTGTTGAGGATTTTGAAATGTAGCTGAAATGTAGTTAATTGAATTACAGTGCTCAGATTAATGGAATTCAAAGTACTAGGATCTGTGAAACAAACTTGTGGTTACTGAAAGCAACCACAGTGTCTCTACCATGTAACAATGACCTGTTGGAAGCCCCCTCCAGGTGAAAGTTGACTATTTGAAGAAAAAGGCATTTTCACTGCTCATGAAGTCAGTTCTTTGTTCCTGCTGTAGTCAATTAACAACTGAACACTCAGAGGTTTACATGCTGCTTAAAGTATCACCCATGAGCTTGAGATGGGAGAAGTCAGCAATAGCACGGAAATCCATAAAAACTCTTAATAACTCTTGTTATACCCTTTTTGAAAGTTGCCGACCCCTGGACAAGTGAAACATTCTTCCCTAAAGTAACAAACCTAATTCTAGAATTTCCACACCTGCCAAAATCAGAACAACTTCTAATCCAACTAGGGGACGTGGGAGGAAAATCAATAGAGCTAGCTGTCCAGTGTGTGATCTGCATCAGTGAGCCTGTATCTCAATAAAGTCTTGTTATACTGTATGTGACTGTCCAATTATGTGTTTGTACTGTAAATGTCTGTAAACATTGTGCTTATTATATAGTCTCTGTTTTGGCAACAACACAATTCGTCGGTGCTGCCAATAACCCTCATTGGATTTGAATTTGAATTTGAAATCTATGGTGGTTAATCAAAATTGAAGAAAAACACTTAATACACTGAAAGACTTCATAAAAAGAAACAAGAGAGAGAAAGGTAAGAACAAAAGATGAAGAGAGAGACAGGGAAGCTGAAGCAGCAGGTGAGCGGACCTTGTTCTGGTGCTGGATGTGGTGATGTATTCTTAGAATAGGTAGATTGACTCCCTTTCACTTTTGGACAGCAAGGAATATTTAGCATGTGCTTGTATAAGGACACTTGCTGAATCTCTTGTTGGCCTGTTTAGGTGTTACTGTATACAAAATTTCAGGTTACAAGGTTAGCAGTTAGTCAGTTCATATTTAGAAATAATTAACTGTTTTTTTATGAAGAACTAGACTCACTCACTCAGAACTCAAAACAGAGTTTCAAAGTGAATTTCTATTTCACACTTCTTGCTTCTCTTCAATCAGTTGATGAAACGTTTAAACAGATGCAGTAGCTAGAATCAGTATTTGGCTTTCTATAAGACATCTGCAGCTTGGAAAAGAAAACCTTAAAACAGATAAGGAAATTTTATATAAAACTACAGTCAACAATGACACATAGAAATTCGAAAGATATTGATGATGCAGAATTGTGAAGTGTGCTTCAGGCTTTTTCAAGACGATTTTGGGATCATTCAACTCCTGAAGAATTAAGAAAGTTTTATTTTTAAATGCAGTTTTCCAAATATTTTTATAACATTACACAGTCTTTAGACTTTGTAATTTTCTGTAGCAAATATGGGACATATATTGTCAAAGCTAAAATTAAAGAACAAAATGTTTTACCAGCCAGTTTATCTAAGGGGTGATGTGTGATTGCATGGTTCACTAAAGGCACCAGCTGCTTCTTTTAATAACAATCCCCCCTCCATTCAGGCACTATCAGGCACACATGCCTGATGTCTGTGTGTCAGCAATAATTTCAAGGACCTGAGCTTTCTCCCAGACAGGTCATCAAATACACTGAACTGTCTGAACTGACTGTGGTATCTGAGTACCTGCCATTAGCATTCAATATGCAATAGGCTTATTTGGTTAATATCTAACTCTGGTCTGACTTCATCATGTTACTCCTGCCAGTGTTATTTAGTTCCCTGAGTTTTTACATTACATTAATAAATTCTCAGATCATCTCACCATTATCTGAATGCTTCCTTACCTCTCACTATTCCTCATTAATTTCAAATTCTCTATAAAACGAATTTAACCTTGCTACAAGTTTCTTTTCTCCATCTAATCTAACTTATTTTCTGCCTGAGATTGCAAGCCTGATCACTCTCTACATTTGGTTCTTACTATAGCTCCTTTATTTTCTCATTGTGCTATGCGTAATTCCTTTAATCAACATTTCTGATGTTCTACTTTTTTGTCAACACTTCTCTCAGCTCTAAAGGACTGAGCAGGTCCTTTTTAAACCTTTCCAGTCGTTTACAAATCTTTGCTCTCCACAGTTGTAAAAATCTGTCTCCCGCATTCCCATTTTCTCACTTGCTTTCTTTCATACTATCTCTTTTTAATTCTTTTATTTCCCTTTCCATCTCAATTTCTCATGTCATCACACATCTGTAGAAGGCTCCACGGATGTGTTTATTCTTCCTTCCTTTTTACTTTTCTATATGGAATGAAACTGTACTCTGTCAACAACAAATACACAATTTACATCTGTATTAATGGAATTATTTTTTTAAATGAATAATTTGTATTGTTATACCCTAGACAATGTGCTAGCATATTCACCAGTTATAAGATCTGTTTTCCAATGGGGAATACTGTTGTTCCATAAGCTAAAGGGATGAGGATGATATGCATTACTGAGAGCTCGAATATTAGAAGTACTTGCAACTGGGATTTAGGTGGTTATCAGTATATAAAACAGCAATGCACAAAGTAAAAGACCATACTGACTTCAGCAATCTGAACAAGGTAAGCTTGTGAAGATTTTCTAACCCTAGTATTTTATATTAATCTTAATAACATTAAATGTTTTTTACATTAAAAAAAAGATTTATAAAGAATCAATATAAATATACATTAATTACACTACATCAATGAGGTAGAATAAAATATAACAAGATATAGTGGAGTAAATGTAAATTAAAACTCTGCACCAATAGGTATGGAATTGTGAGTCTTAATGTAGCACACTATTCAATTTCAGTTTTAATGAGCTATAAACTGACACTGATGAAGATTCACAGTGCTTCATATTAAATAGCTGCTCCCATAACAACCTCCAGTGTTCTATCAAAAGCTTCTTATTTCCCACTAAGTTGTTCCACTGAAAGTGTTAATTAACACAGATTGAGAAAAAATTAACATGTTTTTTCTAAATCATAATGATGCATTCACTATTCTCTTCCCAGGATAAAACAGAAAGTTATATGAGTTTATTTTTTAATCTTTAGTTACTAATCAAGTAGTTCTAATGAATTGTACATTGTTTTTACTTGTTGTAATAAAGGCTGTTTTTGTACTCTACGACTTATACTAGTCAGTGAAAGATCTTGTTTTAATAACATTGTCCTTCTAAGCTTTGTTAAATATATGTTTCCTCAATTTTAAATCTAATCATTTCTGAATACTTAAACTTGATTATTAAGATTGTTTGATTAACACATACTATTATTTATTTACGTGTATTGATACATTAACAAAGCTATTTAAAACTAATCCATTTTTATTTGTTTTATTAAAGCATTTTAAAAAACTTTATCTATTTCTTTATTAAATTTCTCATAGAGTACATATGCTTCCTTTATCTTGCTTCATGTATATGAAATTCCAAAGCAACTCATATTTTCCCTTGACAATTTAAATTAATAGCTGGTTTATCAATTCCTATCACTTAAATACTTTTTCAATATATGTGTCCAGTGAAAACTTCCACCTATGAATATAACTTATAGCATGCTTAATTTGAAATGAGTGCAAAATCTACTCCCAATAACAAAATCATTTAATAAACAGAATTGTATTTTTTTCACAAAAAATACTAAACTAATACTTATTGAGCCTAATATAAGAAAGAACTGTATAGTTTAAAAAAAAACTGTAGACAGAATTTGGAAGATGCAAAGACATTAAAAAATAGCAAAGTCCAAATGGCAAACAAAATCCGTTTTGTAGTAAGGTATTATAGTAATCAATATTAAAATCAGTGCTCAAAAAACGTTTTTGAAAACTAATATAAAAGAAAGACTTTAAAACAAAGCAAATATTATGATTACAAAACAATAAATTTACTGTATAGAAGACTGTTCTGAAGTATTTTAACCTTATATAGCCATGTACAATACATACTGTGTTAAGAAAAGAAAATCACATTGAAAATGTATGGCTTGTTTAACTGGATTACCATCAAGCAATTGGTCCTATAAGTAATTTCAAAAACAGAACATTCAGTACAGCATTTTAGAAGAAAAGTAATAATTTTACATAAAGTTAAAATAATTTATATAAAGAAAAAGTTAGTCTTTGTTTCCCTGTTTGTAATTACAGGTCATGACATTTAAAACTAGGTTTCTGAACATACTTAAAGAGGGTATGTTTTTACATAAACAAGTGCATCATTTTAAAATATTTGTGATACAGGTAATTGCGTTTTTATATCAGTCTAAATGTATATCTGATATTGTATGGTATCTAAAATAATTTAAAGTTTTTGTCTTCCAGGAAACAAATTTTCACTCACGTCTGTACAAAATGAACTTTTCTCAGACTGGAATGACTGAAAACATTCACTATTGTTATGAATCTATGAACAAGTCATGTCTGAAACATGTTTATTTGATAACTGTACGTTCTCCACTTTATCTGATCTTTGTAGCAGTCATTTTGTTCACTGTTTGTGGAAACCTGTTTGTCATCATTTCCATTGCTCACTTCAAACAGCTTCACACACCAACCAATTTTCTTGTTCTCTCATTAGCAGTTGCTGACCTTCTATTAGGAGGATTTATAATGCCTCCCAGTATGGTCCGATCCCTTGAAACTTGTTGGTACTATGGAGACTTGTTTTGTAAAATCCATTCCAGCACAGATGTCATGTTATCCACTACTTCTATTTTGCATCTCTCCTTCATTTCAATCGATCGATATTATGCTGTGTGTGAACCACTAAAATACAAAACTAAAATCACTGTTTGTGTTGCACTTTATATGGTTATTATCAGCTGGGCTGTGTCAGCTGTTATTGGATTTGGAATGATCTTTCTAGAGTTAAATATAAAGGGGATGGAAGATACCTACTACAACAGATTTGATTGTGTAGGTGGCTGTGTCCTAATACAGAGTGAAGCATCAAGCACAATTTCCTCCACACTTTCTTTTGACATCCCTGGGTTTATGATGGTAGGAATCTATTTTAAAATTTTCCTTGTAGCAAGGAGACAAGCCCGGACAATTCAAGGAATAGTATCCCAGAGTAAGACCTCAGAAGACGGCAAAACAATGACTTCAAGCAAGACAGAAAGAAAAGCTGCAAAAACTCTGGGAATAGTAATGGGGGTCTTTCTCAGCTGCTGGACACCATTTTTCTTGTGTAATATCATGGATCCTATTTTTAATTATTCAATTCCGCCCGTTTTACTTGACACTCTTGTGTGGCTAGGGTACTTAAATTCTACATTTAATCCTCTTGTCTATGCTTTCTTTTACAACTGGTTCAGAAAAGCTCTTGGTATGATTGTGTTTGGGAAAATATTTCAAGCAAATTCTTCAAGAACAAGACTAATTACAGATTAAAAAATTGATGTTTAATCCTACGGTATATGAATTATATGATATACTGTATGGAAACAAAGGGTATGAGAATATTGTGATACAAAAACCAATGAAAATAAATGGAATTATCAGTTTTCTGAGAGGTATAAATGAAGGATAAGGAGACTTTTGTTAAACATTTGAAAGAAACAGAAGAAAAAATTCAACTGAGATAATAATTTGTAAAATTCAGACATAGGACTATTATACATTTTCAAAGGACAGACTGATTGAAAATTATGATCACTGTAATCACTTGTTTCACTAAAACAGTATATTTGCATCTCTAAATAAATGTTTCTTTCTTCATAGTGTACTGCATACTTGGTATGTAATTCTGATGTGGGCTTAATGTTTCCTTGTTTTATGAGGAACAGCTGAGAAGGTAGTGTGTTTTATCTGTATGATCTTAGACATTGTAATGGAAAACGGAATAGTTTAATTTCATCTGTAAACTACAAACAACCTTATTCCATTTGTATCTTACCCTAAAATATTGCCCTAAAAATTTTATCTTAAAAATAATATATTTTAAAGATGATGACTTCTCTGAATGTACGATTACTTTCCTCTAATTCATGCAATGTGACATGATTTTCGCTGTTATTGGATTTGGATTTATGTTTCTATAGTTACAGTAAATATAAAGGGGATGGAAGACGTGTACTGTGAGCACTAGGTAGCAGTAGTCTGATACAGAGTGGAACATCAAGCCTGATTTCTTCCCGACTGGCACTTTACATTACTGGATTAATTAGGTTAGGAATCTATTTCTTAAGTAGGTAGGATGGTGATGCAGCGGTTAGCAGTACTGCCTTACAGTGCTTGACTCCTGGATTTAATTCTAGACCTGAGGTGCTATCTGTTAGGAGTTTGTATATTCACCCCAAATGTGAAGGGGCTTCCTTCTACATTCCAAAGCCATACTGATAGGTTAATTGGCTTCTGGGAAAAATAGCTGTAGGTGTGGGTGTATGCTTGTCTGTGTGCATCTACCTGCAATGGACTGGAGACACCTCCTGTTGCTTGCTGGGATAGGCTCCGGCTCACCCTCCAACCCTGAACTGGAAGCAATGGTTAGTGAATGCATGGACGTATCTATTTCAAAATGTCCTTGTAGAAAGGAGACAAGACAATTCAAACAAAGCACCAGGAGGACAAGGAGGACTTCAAGGAGAACAGAATGAAAAGCTACAAGACTCTGGCTATAATGATGTGGATTTTCAGTTATTGTGTTTGTGTAATAAGCATGGATTTTTTTTCCATTCCACCTGTTTGTGTTAAGCTACATTCCACATTTAATTCTCTTGTCTGTGCTTTTTTTTATCCCGTTCAATTGTCTCTGGTTCAGTATGATTATCTTTGGATATTTCAGGATGGATCGATAGAAAAATAATACCAATTGACAACCCATTGATATTTTATTATTAATCATAATAATACAGTGGTACAGTACTTTGTTTTTCTCTTCACGGAACTTGAACATGTCTACACTTTACCAGGTTTAGCTTTGATGAAGGACACTGTTTCCCAAAATATACCAATGTGATTACAAAATAAAATGAAATTTAACAAAATGTTTGTGGAGTATTATATAATTAAAACAGTGAACATAATTTTGCAATATCTGGTGCAATAAGACTCAATTGTTATAAACATTCACATGATTTGAACTTACACTCTTCTATTTCAGACGTTTGGCAATACAGAGCAATGTATAGAGAGTGGGAAGGTAACAAAAATTCAAATTTCTGCACTGCAAATTCTGGATTTCCATTTTTTCATCCCTAAACAGATAATAACAGATAATTGCTTACCTTTGGTCTGTAGCAGAGCAACAGATTGTGGAGTATTAGTCTTGGGTTAGAACATCAGAAGTGGGGCACAAAAAAAAAATCCTCATCAGGTTGCTAGAGAAATTGGCTTCACCTGTAGGCAAACTGATTTCGCTGAGAGATGAAAGAAGTTGTCGTCTGTATCATGAGTAGACCGGCAAAATCTATGTATGAGACACCAAAAACAAAAACAAAAAGACACCAAAAGTGTATTATGGATGAGAAAACATCCAGGTTATATAATAGTGAGACATACATCTCTGACCAAACAGGACTAGCTACTTAAGATAATACAAGGTAACAAATGGAAAATTAGAACAGATAGGGTTTAAGACATTATAGACGATTTGTACTTTTGTAAGGGTAAAGATATGGGAACAATTGTTAGAACTCAGTACAAGAATGCTTGAAAAAAATATTGGAAGAGACTTTCAACATGGATTTAAAAAAAAGAATGTTCACATATAATATAAAAGATCCCCATTTGTGGAAGTGAGGCTTAGGAGACCTGCACTCAAATCATTTGAACACAGATGTAAAACAAACGTCCAGGCTTCAATCAGCCGTTGCTAAATAAACAAAGGAAAAGATTTTCTAAAAAAAGAAACCTGGCTAGTATTTCACTAAGCTCTAAAATATGTACTTCTTCCTGAACACGTCCAATTTTATTACTGAGCTAAACAGTAATACTATTAGTACAACTTCTCCCTGGGTTACACAAAATGCAACATACACAAATTTCAACTTTATGTAAAAGCTTCCAATGGATCCCATTTTTACATTGGGGATTTACAAACATAGATCACGTTTGTAAAGGGTGAATAGTGTAGCAAGTTCTTTCCATGGATGAATAGAGCAGAATAGACATAATAGAGACTCTGTTTTACGTTTCAGTCTTGTTTGCGTATTTGCACATGTGATAACCGCTTGTTAATTTGTGCTTTTAATTGAAATTTGTAAGTAATCTATATTGCAATCATGTCAAGGAAGCACCCAAGTGATTTTGTTATTTACTGTATTTTATATTTCATGTTTAATTACTAACAGCATACTGTAGATAATGAAAAGTATATTATTTCAAATTTGTTAAATGATAATTCTCTCTAATTTGTCCACTGTACTGTATATCTTTAAGTGTGTGCTATATTTGATGTTTAATTATTCTAATCATAGGGTTTTAGTTGTGGCATGACACAGGGGCGTGTCCAGTGTGGAGGCGGAGCCCTGGAGGAAGGGTGACGCTTCGTCTTCGTAGTCCAGCTGTTCTGGCTGTTAGAGGATGAGCCCCAGCTGTGAGGGCTCTATAAAGGCACACTGGACACCCAACAAGGGGACAAGCAGGGCCACCCTGGAAGGGGAGGATCATTTCACTGGTGGCCCTGGAGGGGATGAGGCCATTGTTCTTTTTCTTTTCCTTTTTTCTTTTTGCCTGTAACGTTACACATCTATATCGGGGCAGGCTGAGCTTTTTCACACACCAAGTTTTTATTTTGTTCTGGCCTTGCACTTCCTGCTCTTTCAGACTGGACCCTGTGAAATAGGGTAAGCCAAGCCTGGATGTCGCAATGCATAGTGACACACATTTCTTTTTGCTCTTTGTTCTGTTTTTCACCATTTTTGCGTTATTTTCGGTTCTTGCCAACCTCACACCGGTGCTTCCGTCCCTCATTTAGGGGTGTTGACTTGGGGCAACCATGTTGTGAAAGGCGCTATACATTGAATTGAATTGCATTTGACCAGTGCTCACCACGGCTCTGCCCACTCCCTCACTGTTACACTATAGATGGAGGAAGTTTCATTTTTCTTTACCTCATGAACAGCTACTGTAGATGCTGCTATGTTCTTTCTCTTGCTCTTAACCCCACTTCATGAACAGCACCACACTTGTCGACCATTAAAGGACAATAAATCCTTGGTGAGCCTTTAATTCTGTTCTCCTGTTTCTCCATCCTCACTCACAAACACAGCTGACCAATAAGGAATGTGTCACGATTGTAGTCCCTCCTCCTTAAGGGCGCTCCGGCTCTTTCACTTCGGACCTCATTTTGTGCACCTGCCCCTTGTTCCAGCCTCCTTCCAGCCCCATTTAAAAGCCAGACGCTGACACCAATCAGGGCTCTGCATTGGTTTCCGCATCATGCGAGCCCGGGACCTGGATGTGCCTGGCTCTGTTATGCTTTTAGTTTCTGTTCCCGTTCCTGTTTCCCCTGCCGGTCCCCACTTGGTTCTGGTTTTTAATCGTTATTCCGGATGGATCGCCTGGCTTTGGACTTTTGCTCTGTCTTTGGGTCCCTCTTTTGACTCATCCCCAGATTGTTTGCCTTGGCCACACCTTCCCCGACCACCAGCACTCCATTGACACGCCCCCCCGTATTCATTCCCGTATTTTCTTCACTTTTCACTGGATCGTGTCATCCGCATAGGGTCCGGAAAGAACGCTTTCGTTACAGAATGACTGCTCTAATTTCATGAATGGTAATTCTTTATATGTATTCATTCAAAAGCTAAGAAAGGGTCACTCCCAACTTACTGTATGTAAGAGTCAGGTTAGGTAATGACTTACAGATCAGAGCCCTTACATAACGTGGGGAGAAGTTGTGACATACAGGTTTTTCATCTGTCTTTATAGGTCCAATTACTGCAGTACATTGAAAGACTTTCTGCCACATATCATTACAGACATTATTTTGAGGTATCAAGCCCACATATCTGTCCTCTCATGACTGAGCATGAGCAACTTCCCTTCAAGACCTGAAAAGTGGTACTGGGATTCTTGCTAAAAACTGTAGGGTTCTTGTCACATTCTCCTACAACTCCTTCCAAGTGATGGGCAAGTATTCGTAGTCAGACATACCCTTCTCCTCAGGTGTCCCTGTCTCAGACTGCCACTCTTTTCTCCTGACTTCTGGACAAACTAGCAAACTAGGAATGTGTACTTGTCAGGGTCCATAGTAATGTCAGACATGCCATTAGGATATGCAAACCTGCCAATGCATCCACATGGGCCATTCATACAAGACCACAGATTTCTCAGAATGAGAGACTTGAGAGACTTGTAGAGTGTCAATCTCAGTCAATGTGATCTGAACATTTCCTATTAAATGAATGACCTCACTGTGTTCAGCAGTAGCCAATAATAATATAAATAATATTAATTTTCAACTAAATAAAGCAGATTGTGTTTGAAGGGCAAACAATTTCCAATAAACTAGGCAGACATTCATAAAGGTTACTAGAAAAGCACTTCCATT